TGCCAATCCAGCATTTCAACGCTTCTTGTTTTAAATTTCAGAATTCAAAAGGCCCGTAGCAACGTTGAGGCCAAATTTCACGACGCACTCTATTGAGCCTTTCACTCCGAGTTGCTGAAGTAAAGACTGCTTTATATTTGGGAATCTGTCAGCACAGATCTATCCATTTCGCTGGAACCACTTTCGTGCATTCTGGGATGATTACACTATAACACTACGCCATCGGTGTTGATTCACAAGTCGGCGAGTCGTCACCCGTTTCTCGGTTTGCTGCACCAATGCAGAGTGGTGGTGGTGGTGGTGGGTGGGATAGGTTTCTTGCTTAAGGGAATAACCACTTAACAAATTTTGATTTTCTCGAGATTCAAATCTGATGCCTCGAAGTTTGAAGCCATCATTTTTGCTACTGCTGTACTTAATGGATGGCTATGCGATTACGCAGCAATCGTTTCAGATCTTGCCAGAATAGCATGGTTAATAGCTTTCTTTTTGTTCTAATTTGACTGCAATTTATTTGTCATTTAATTGATTTTCGTAAATCGTTGAAAATTACCGTTTGGAACTTAGGCCAACACCGCCGACGTTTATTTCTAAGGTATAATCCAAGTTCCAGTTTTCTAAATTTCCTCCTTAACGAATTTGTCAATATATGGTTCGGGATATCTAGCAAAGCAGAAGTCAAAACTTTCATTGCCTACGCATTTCTCTACCACGCCGGTAGCCATCGTCAGGACAGAAGACGAAGCCGGTATGGCAACAAAACGTGGAGGCAATAAGAGATTTAACATCTGCATCGTTTGGTGTCCTGAGCCAAAAATCATAAAACCATTCCAATAATGAACACATAATCGAAAACGCAGAGTGTTATTAATTTGTTTCGCTTTTATTATATTCATATTGAAAAAAACACCATTTAACGACTGTACTTAAGTACACGAAATCTGAAGTAGTAAAAGAAGATGGTCAAGTAATAAAATTTCCGTACTCACTAACTTAGGCGACTACGTCGATCGCGGTCCTCAGAGCATCGAAACAATCTGCCATTTGCTTCTGTACAAAGTGATGTTTCCGAAACGAATATCTCTGCTCCGAGGAAATCATGAATGCAGACCAGTCAATGTGGTGTACGGTTTTATGCAGGAATGCAAAAACCGTTATTCCGTCGAACTGTTTGATCGTTTTCAGGTAAATGCGACAAATTCCTGTGAAGGGCGACACTTGTCATTTTTAGGAGGTGTTCAGCTGGCTGCCGATCTGCGCGCTGGTATCCCAGAAGCTGCTCTGCATGCACGGCGGAATCTCTCCGCACCTGGCCAGTTTAGACCAGATCAAGGCCATTGGACGACCTCTCGATGTACCGCGCTCAGGGTTGATATGTGATTTGCTATGGTCTGATCCGGATCCCGAAATTAGTGGTATGTCCATAAACGACGTACTGTATCACTTTCGAAAACAACAATATTTTTAGGCTGGAAGCCCAGTCATCGAGGAGCCAGCTATTTGTTCGGAAGCGACACAGTTTTGCAGTGTTGCAATCGTCTCAAGATCGACCTTGTGGTGCGGGCACATCAGGTAGTCAACTTTTCGCCTTCTACCTCTAGGTAGAGGATATGACCTTAGTTTTTATTAGATGATCACCACAATGGTATATTTGACAACGAAACCCAACATTCAGTTGGCTAATTATGCAAATTAAGTTTTTAATTTCGACCATAGCTGAATTAAGAGGCCATTTGCAAATGCACAAATAAGCGCCATTCATACAGATATGATTCATAGTATGTTTGTAATGATGGGCAAAAGTAGTTTGGAAGGCAACCAATGGAATGCCTACGTTTTGCGATGGATCTAGGATGCGTTTTGTTGCACTGTAGCAAATACCAATGCAAGCGTCAAACATAATCAATGTTACTAATTGTCAAATAGCATGGAAACGATATACGACAAATATTACTCCATTAGTGTACAGGTTACCATTTCAGTGGTGATGAACATAAAGTAACATATATATGGTAGTCTTTCTTATATCTTCGACGTTACAACCAAACAACTTAATCATCCTGGGTAAGTTTGACTGACCCAAAAATTTTTCTTAAGAAACTTCTTATTGCAGCTTATGCTCGCGCCTATGTTCCTCCAGTTACTGTTCATAGCTCTTGGTCCTAAGCGAAGAATAGATACACTTAAACCGTGACAGACATAGCTGTTTTTGTATTAGTGGTTAGAAAGAGGTCATATGATATTCGACAATTCATTTAAATCCGCTAATAGATGTCCGTTGTTTAACTGCCAGAATATGTTAGCAAGCGCTATTCAAAACAACATATTCAAAACCCGATTTCGAGGTATATTGCATAATCAGATTAATCCTAGATGCATAAATGTTCGCTTAGGCATGTTCGAAGTACCATGACGTTATGTCAAAGATTATTGCTTCAACAAGATCATTAAACCATGTAGTTTTTTAACATGGCTGAAAAACAAAAATGCGTGGGAAACAAACAATGCCAACTGCGCGCCGAACTATGAATAAAACAGTAACGAACAGATATTTGGCCATGCATTAGAAGCAGATCACGAAACAACGCTGTACGGGAAACAGGGGAGGGCCTATATTAGAAAGTGATAGTGTCCGTCACAAGTATTTCAAAATCAAAATCTGGAATCGATGACTGACCTGCCATTCATGAGCCCAAAATTTGTCGTTTAGCGGCGCGTACAGAACAACAACGTTGTGCAACGAGACAACAGTTCAGAATACAGCATTAACATCAAAGTATGTTCGCGTGCTGGGGTATGTCAGGTAAAGCATAACTCCTTCAAGACCAGATTTCATGCTGTGTTGTCCGTCCACCAGTTCGCACTTGCCTAGAAATGACCATTTATAAGCAGGCCACGGCTGCATGGTCTCTAAGCACCTCCAGTGCCAGATTCATCTCGCACAATGTTTTTACTGAAACCTCATCGCGTTCATTACACAGTGATGCCTGAGGACTGGTGCTTCTTCCATGATACCGCGCAAACTTCAAAGGATGTCTGTTTGTCAGAGTATTTCAATAACGCATAACTTATTTAAGACCAGATTTCCCTTAAATGCCCACTGGCAGGTAACAGCCAAGTGGCAATACGACAGAAATTGGACTAAAATCTAGTCTTACGGGAATTACGCGCTTTTATTTTCTAAACCAACGACTTGACGTGAAACAGGTGACGATCGATGGGATCGGTCAGGGTTTTCTCAGAGTTAGCGACATGCCTCTTTAATGGAGACAAGCCACGTCCATGGCATGGTATAGTTCGTGAGGTTTCGCAGTAGTAGCGTTTAACCAACCTTGCCAGTAGTTGAATTGCCATCACGTCGCCCTTTGATATTGCCGTTGCATTGTGCGTGAGTGCTTAGTCGTCATACTCATGCCTATTTCACAGCTAACCCACTTACTTGAGGGTTGTTTTACTTCCGGCGATCTGTGGCCGCTTTCGATGGCATTTTACTTGGGCCTAGTAAACAACCGAGCAGAGGCGTCCGTGTCATTACTATCCGTAACAATACCCACATATTGGTAAGTGGAGTTTCAGCATCTGCCATTCCATTTACGCTTGTGAAAAACGACTACGACCAGTGGGATACGAGCACCGAAGTATGCTAATAAGCAGTTGATTCCTACAAAGAAGAATTCGTTTTCTACTGCCTCACTCTCTTGCTCCTAATTCCTGGACTCAGGAGATTGAGCAGAACACAGCTTTATAATATTAGGGAAAGTAAACTCACTTTACAAATTGCAACCAAACATTGATAATACTGTAGTATCGAATAAAAGTTTCCAGATATGTGCAGCATTAGGATCGTATATGAATCAGAGTATTATTTCTAACGGTCAGACGCCATATATTTGGGCTATTTTACTATTTAGGCTTTGTTCGAATAACATAACAATGAGGAAGTAACAAGAGCACTGCGCTGTTAAAGTGCACGGCTTTTGACCTTTGTAAGTGTTCCAACAAACAACAATGAACGAAAGAGTCGGTGTAACGCAAGCCATAATCTGGTTTTGAAAAGTGTTTGCTTGTCTGTTGCGATCCTCACTTTGAGCCGTTTGTATATGAAGAACGTCTCTGCCTTGTGATGTCCGTTTTTCAACACTTTTATTACAAGTAACCCGTGACCCGTGCCTTATAGCAAAAAGTTTTGTAAAGCTGTGATCACAGCGGGCGTACAACAATCCATAAATGTTCCGGTTGATGAGGTTACGGCGCAGACAGCTGGCTGGTGTCAGTGTTTGGTCCTGCAGGCGACCACGTTGAATCTGCATGAATTGCGTGATTCGGTCCATCATGTTATACGTCAAGGCACAGGTGCCTATGAGTTGTAAAACTACTGAATTTTTTATTACAATTCGGTTATGACGTCTGTGCGGCCTCAGTAAGTCAGAGCGCAGTCTTCGGTCACGAGTTTGAATTTACGTCATTGGTATATGGTCATCGATATTAACGATTTCACTTTACCCATCATGTTGCCTATCACTGAAAAAAAACTCTCTGCGAGTACAGTACGATGCCGTTGTCAAACTATGGTCGATGATCGATGACTTGTATTTTATGGTTCCATTTTAGTGATTGCGCGACGTCGCGAAGTCAATGCACTTTTATTTGATCAGGAGAAGAAGTTAATATAAGTGTGCGTCGCTACTTGCATTGATTATTTGACTTAACCCTCTCCCGTTGTACCTCGTTTGAAAGCTGTTTTCCAGTGTCTGTCAGCAGAATATGACTTTTTCGTCTTGAGTATCAATTTTAAAGCTAGTGTCTTCGTCTGACGATTTCACTGTGACAAATCGGCACGCGTTAACCTCAACATTAACAACCGCATGTCAAAATTTATTGAACTTTCACAAACATATCTTTTGTTCTTTGTTGACTAATTTTATCATTGAAAAGTTCTCTCTGAACATAATACGCAACTGATCACAAATCAAGAAACTCAATTCAAGGTTTTGTTTATTGACTGCACTATGCTGGCGATACGAGGTCATTATGAATCATTGCGCAATCAGCTTGTTGCAAGTTGCATCTGCGCAACTGACCGAAGAATACCAGCGTGAGTGATTGATTTAATCATCAATCATCTATCAGTAGATTGTCAAACTTGTGAACTTAGAAAATTCCGTGTCATTTTATGATTTCATTGTAGTGGCTGCGTCAGGTCAGTAAGTCGATGGACAGTCATTTAGCAGAGGATCGAAATCTTCGTCCCAATTTCAATCCTCTTTTCGCTTTCTTTAAATGCACTGATTGACGATGGGTAGTTCTCTATGAACAAACTGCGAAACTTCGGCTAAATGTTCGAATTCCAAGGAATTTTGATTTAATTATTTAACTCTGTGCAACCTCGTAAAATCATATAGTCAATCGGGTGCGGTCACTGCAATTTCACTACTGCTTGCATTAAGCGCATGTTACGATCTTCATGGATACGGGGTTGGTATTGAGGATGACGATGCTGCTGTCGAAACGCGACTGAGAAAAATTTTCGTTGAAGGGCTTTCGTTACGTGTGGGCAGAGAGAGTAGCTACGGAACAGAAAAACCATTATAAAGCAAGGTATGACAGTTATTACAAAACTTGGAATACTCACGATAGTATGGTCGCTGGTTGGAGAAATCCGAACCTGTCACCAGAATTAAAACGCGTGCGGAAGAAAGC